TCTTAGAATTTCAGGATTGAGACCCCAGTTTGCCCTTGCTGTTCTTGAGACTTTCTTGTAGAGTTGGATAGCCTTTTCTGTTATCTTGTCCATATGGTTTATAAAATTAAGATTAGCGTCGATCGTTAGTCCAAGGATTGTTATTCTTTCTGAAAACGTTATTGGAGCATTATCAAGGTGTAATTTTGGTGTTTCGTACTTAAGTTTTCTAGTGAATAGGATTGCTTGGGTTTTCTGAGCCGCCAATTTCATTTTCCGCGTTTTTGCCCATACAAGGATGTGATCCAATACTGTGTTGAGTTCGTGTTCTAGGTCCTTTGCTGTTTTCCCTTTCGCTATGACCAATATGTCATCTGCATACGCCTGTACGTGGGTGCCCAGATCTTCTATCTCCCTTAGAAGTGGATCAATTAGCAGGTTCCACAACAAAGGTCCGCAAGTTGATCCTTGTATGCATCCCTTGTTTGTTTGCCTAATTATCTCGCTGCCTGCATACGTGATTTTTACTTGCCTATCAGTGAGGCAAGTAAAAATCACGTATGCAGGCAGCGGGGCAGGTTAGGTTAGGTTAGGTTAGGTTAGGTTAGGTTAGGTTAGGTTAGGTTAGGTTAGGTTAGGTTAGGTTTTTTTTTTTTTTTTTTTATTATTTCTACTCTACAGACTCGTAGTCCGTACCCTTTATTACATTTTTTTTATAATTGTTATGACATTACATATGTAGTTTCTAAGCTATAACATCTCTCCGCGTTTTTTGAATATACATTTTCCCATTAACATAGATTATAATATCATGCCTTATATCTAACGGTTAGTTTTTTTTTCCTCAATTTTTTTTCTTATTCTTATTCTTTTTTTTTTGGTTTGTTTATTGTTCTTTTTTTTTTTTTATTTTTTTTTTTCATGCATCTTAAACTATTGTTAGTTATGGTTTTAAACTTTTGTCTACATACTTATAACTAACTTATAGCTAATTCATATATATATATTTTTTTTTTTGCCAGACCTTTTTTTTTTTTTTGTTTTATTTTGTTCTTTTTTTTTTCATTTTTTTTCATGCATCTTAAACTATGGATATTAAACATCTTATACTCAATACTTAATTTATAACTAACATAACTATAATTTACAAAAATTTTCCAATTTTAATAGTAAGTAAAATTGTTGCGGTTATGTCATTTAACATCTGTTTGATTGTTGTTTATGCCGCTTCGTCTCGGACCACGTTCATAATGTTTCTTGCAACCTTTAAGTCTCGATGATGTATTGCCATTTTCATGTTGTAATCCCTAATTCTGCTTGTGGTGGCAGCCTCGGCGCGCAAAATTAAACAGGCAATTGCATCTTCCTCACACCAATCGGTGTAGTAGATGCAATTGCTCGTATGGCGCGAGATTGCCACCACTGCATGAGGAATACTGTTATATAGGCGTTGTTTCTCTCTATTAGATCGCACGATTACCACCGTCTCGCTCACGAGCCCCTGAGCTTCATGTATGGTTAGAGTTCGCGATCCCTTCCCTTTTCCGTAGCCCTGGCTGATGAGATTTTCCTTTTCAGCCTGGGTGTGTCCCAAGTATAAGGTGTTTTCAAGGGACTTTGGGATTTGTGAACCCATGTACCTTTTTAGCTTTAGAGATCGCAACCTAGTATTGGATGAGTATATGCCATCATAGATTTCGTTTAGTGCATATGCTACATCCAGTGGGTTTCTGTGCGTGCAGAGCCATTCCTGGTTGATATTAGCCACAAGATTTGGACGAGTGTAGTGCAGTCGGAACAAATCATGCCTGTCGATATATGGTAGCTGGTTGTTGTCCCCTACAATGAAAATCTCGCTTGCACCCGTGATTTGTACTGCCGCCACTGTAGCCCCAAAATGGTTCATGAGCGCTTCGTCAATTAAAAGACGAGAGTATTTCTCAGACGCCCTTATGCCATTTACCAAGATTGAGGCCATAGTCCGCACCTTCCTTGCTGCGTCGGCTCCTACACGTGATGCTAGCCTCTCCCTCAGGTCAGTTGCAGCTGCAGTTGTTGTAGTGATTATGATATCATTTTCCTCCGCGAAGTTGTTAATAACCCAGGATGTTTTTCCACATCCGGGTACGCCATTGACCCATGTTATTTTTGGCAACTGCCAATGCCCAAGAGAGCCGCCCTTCTCCAAAGTCATGGACACAGCCTTGAGCATGTCCAAGATCTCTTCCTCGAGCATTACTCTTGTACACTTTGTTGTTACCACTATGGGGTCCTGAGGAGGTGTTCGAAAGACAAGTTGGCCCGACTGTTCCGTCTCAGTCCCGTCCAAAGCCACAAAACCAACCGTTGCGTTGTATGCCGCCATGTACAATCCCGACACTTTCCCTTTAATTACTTCAGCTGTGTCGTTGTTGTACACAGCAGCCTCGGATTCCTCGAGTTTCACCTCAAGCTGATCTTCACAGCCTCGATGAAAAGATTCCAAGATGCTCTTACAGGTCATGATGTTAACCTCTCTGGTAGCTTTTACGATAGCTTTAAACTCGAGGAATGCATTTATCCAGTGGTCCAGGGGCTCCGACACCTCCCTGAGACTCGGCAGAGTGACTTGTCCCAAGTCTGCTTTTGTCCATGTGCATGGGGATTTTCTTGTTTGACCTTTGGGAAAATACTTTGCGGCGCTCTTAACAGCAGCAACTATCTTGTCAGTTGACCGCAGATATTCCTTTTTCTTCGGGATTATTTCGGGGATTGCAGCAATGACTTGACCGAAGGTGCTAGCGACTGCTGCTACTTTGTCTATTGTTCCGACTGGGATGATTCGTGTTCGCTTTTCTTTTCTCCTTTTGGCGTCCATTTCTTGTTGCAAGTGTTCGGATCCACTTAATATTTCTTCTGGGCGTATTTCAGGGTGTTCTTTGCTGTTAGTGGGATACGATCGTGAAGGTTCGTTGGGTCTGAAAGGTTTCATAAAACTGATATTCTGAGGCTTTTAATACTCCCATGTAGTCTTCTACCTTCCCTTTCTCGTATTCTACCACCATAGCATCTACGCTTATTATTTTTGGTGATACTTCTTTAGCCTCACTTGCCTCCGTAAGCACAGCTAGCATTGAGCATGCCTGAGCGAACTCGGTGATGTCGTCGCCTTTTTCGAATAGTGCGATGGTTTTGTTCCGCATACGCACTATTCGGCAGTGATTGTTTGCTACTGTTATCTTCTGTAGCGCCTCATACCTCTTACGTTTTATGCTCGTTTTGAAGGTGCTGCCTTTCAGGAGCAAGGCGAGGCCAGGTGAGATGATTATTCTATTTGGAGCCATCGCGTTACAGAAGCAAATACCCAGCCTTTCGGAGGAGTCGTTCATAAACATGGCTACCGTTTTGAGTCTAATACCTGGGTTGCCTAGTTCAGCATATTCTAGTAGTTTATTTGCTGGCTGATTAATTGTACTTCTGTATTCTATGTCTGTGGTTTGTGTTATTGTATTACTTAAATTCATCGTTTGCTGAGTTAATTCAGAAGAAAGAGTACTGTTTCTTTTAGCAGCTAAACGGATTGTATGTTCTGCAAACTTTAAGAAGTCCGGTATTTTATCTGCGTCATCCAAGATGTTGTGTAATACTTATATTTCTTAACGACGTTTTGACCATCAGAGTGAATAACAACAAAAGCAGCTCCTACACCTTTATCAGTCTTGCTTCCATCTGTAAATATACTTGATGTTGCTGTATCGGAGGTTTTACATCGCTTCGTTATTTCTAAATCTGCACACGTTTTTATTTTAGCTTGTAATGGATAAAGTTTTGACAGAGAGATTGCAGTTGCCGTGCTTGTTGTTCGAAATCCTCTTATGATTTTAATGGCGAAATTGCGTTGGAGAGAAAGTAACCGTTTTTCTATATACTTATATTTTAGAGCAGAACTCCAAATACTTGATGCATAGCAAACAATAGGTTCTATTACTGCAAGATATATGGTATGCACATTTTCTGAATTTACTCCCCAAGTAGGTTTTATATATTTGACTAATCTTTGAAATAGATTGTACGATTTGTGTATTGTATGTTCTGCATGCTTTATGAAATTTAATTTTTGGTCTATAATGACCCCTAAATACTTTATTTGGCGGAAGAATTGCAATGGTAGACTGTTCATAACTATTTCACATTTGCGAGCTTTATTGGTAAATGATATCATTTGGGTTTTATTAGGATTAAATCTTAGTTTGACTGAGTTTCCCTACGATACAATTTTGGAAAGAGCTTCGTTAGTTGTAGTTTCAAGATTTTGGGTATCTTTTGCAGACACTATTAATAAGAGATCATCTGCGAAGGCTTGGAGATGACATCCATTGGGTAGCTCAGATGTTAAGAGCTCATCAAGTATCAGGTTCCATAGCATTGGACCGCAAACTGAACCCTGAACGCATCCCCGAGACATATACTTGGTAGCTGAACTATCCGCAAAATCAAGTTTGACTACACGGTGTTGGAAGTAATTTTTAAGAAGATTATATAAGTTGCTAGGACATTTAATAGTGTGAAGCCTATTAAACAGTGCTGGCCACCAGGCATTGTCAAAAGCCGCCTGTATATCGAGTGAGATTGCCAACACTTGATGATTTTGCAATCTAGCGTTTTGTATAACGTCAAGTGCTTTTTGGATAGCAGCCGTTGTTGAAGTTTGCTCTTTGAAACCGAATTGTAAATTACTAGTTGCATTAGTAGTGTGTAAGAAATATGTAAGTCTTTTAGTAATTAATTTTTCTAAAGCCTTTCCAAATACATTAATGAGTCCTATCGGTCTATATGAAGCGGTATTAAGTTCGGTTTGATTGTGTTTTGGGATAATTTTTATATATGCGACCTTCCAGTCCTTTGGAAAGTGGCCGAGTTGCAGGCATCTGTTCATTATTTGAGTGATTGTAATAGGGAAAGTTTCAGCAAATTTAAAACATATATCCGATGTGAGGTGGTCTAGACCAGGTGATTTTTTGGGGTTCATGAATTTCAATGACTCAAGTACTTCTTCTACAGTAAATGGAGCATCTGCTGGCGTGTCGGGTGTTTCGTTAAAAGAATTACGGAGCTGCATGTGCCTTAAGCATGTATCGGGTCCATCATCAGGAAAATATTCATTTAAAAACGTTTCAGCAGTTTCGTATGTTGTTTTTGTGTATTTACCCGCTCTTGTTTTAAGAGTTGAGGGAGGCTGCTTCAAAGGTGTGGTCTTAAGTAACCGATTGGTTATACTCCATACATCCTCCTTTCCCTGCTTATTGCAGAACTCCCTGAAATGCTCAGTTGAAGCAATTCTAATTGCTTGAGCATATTCATTTCTTAAGTTTTCTTTTTCTAGCAACAATTCGGTTAACGTTTTTTTACTGCGTTTCATTTGTTGAATTTTGTGGTGATTTTTTATAACTTTTTGCTTGAGATTTTCTAATTTATCGTTCCACCAAGGTGCTCGATTTGTTACTTTAGATGATTTTCTCGGAAAGAGTTTGTCGCTAACCTTTTGTACTGCTGTGACTAATTTTGTAATGTATTTATCTAACTGGGAGGTGTTTAAATTATCTACATTAATATTGAGGTCTAAATATTTGCCTAACTCGCATTTAAACTGTTCTGTAATTTCATCCCATTTTATATTCTGAGTATTGTATTTAAATGTTGAAAGTTTTTTTGGTTTGCTTAACAAGTTGTTACTTAAAGACAAATCAAAAGTGATAGCATTATGATTGGATGATGGGATGGCGTCTAGTACAACTTTCCAGTTGGAAATTTTGTTCGATAGAGAATCAAATGTCATTGTGAGGTCAATTATAGATTCGCGATGGGTTTTATGTGTAACCGTTTCATATGTAGGAACGTTACCTGAATTACATAGAATAAGATTATTAGTAGTTATAAGATCTACTACCATATTTCCGCGGCGGTTGGATCTAATCGAGCTCCACATGGGATGCCATCCGTTAAAGTCACCACAAATGATGTGAGTGTGATTTGTGTGTTTCTGCAGAAATATTTCTAGACTGTTCATTGTATTAATTTCATCCTTCTTGGGTTCAATGTATACACTAATTAGAAATAGTTTATTTACCGCCAATGTCTATTTTAACAATACAAAGATTGGAAGTAGAGTATTCCGAAATACCCAGTGTGCAGCCTATAGTCCGCCTTACAAGTAGGTATGCTTTTACTCGGTGCGCTGTGGGGTATTGATATATATTATAGTTAGGGATAGACTTCATTACGTTGTCTTTTCCAACATAGGGTTCGCTGTTAAACACTATATCATATTTGTTGTCATTTATATATTTAATCATTTCATGCATCGCTGCATACCCTTTGTCAGTGTTAATTTGTAAGCATTTTAAAGGAAGGTGATTTTTTGGATTTGTTTTATTTCCGTTGTTAATAGCCATAGTCGGTTCTGTTTTTGCAGATTTCTATTTGTTTTTGTAAGCGGGGGGCAACGTAGCGAAGTAGCACTGTGTTTAGTATTAATATTTAAATTATATTTCTTACAATGCGAAGAACAGTTATAGCAGTCAACTTTAGTTGATAATTGATAGAATCAGGCGTTACTTTGCGGAAATCCATTATAATAAAAAATAAAAATATAAATTTCTTTGCAACTTTCCGCTAAACATATAAAATGATGTGTCTTACCTGGATTGAAGCGCACCTCCCGCCCTCCCTCAATTGCATACACTAACTCCGTCACCACTAGACCAAGCACCACTACTCTCAACACCACTATTCCAGGCAAGACACACCATCGACGATAATACGACACGTGTTTCGCCTCTACACGAGGCATCCTCAGGTAATATAGACTCTACGGCGGCTGACCGCTAAGATTTCTTATAAGATTTCTTAGCGGTCAGCCGCCGTAGAGTCTATATTTTCTTATATCATTTTATATGTTTAGCGGAAAGTTGCAAAGAAATTTATATTTTTATTTTTTAACTTTAGTTGAATCTTTTTTAACCGGGCAGTCTTTATACGAGTGTTCTGATGATGAGCAATGGGAGCAAATTGTTGTATTTTCGGTGCAGTGTTTCTTTGTGTGACCAAACTGCATACACTTATAGCACTGGAGGTAAGCTGGGTAGTCTTCAGTATGTACACGTTGGTGATCGACGTTTATTCTTTGAAGTTCCACAATTGATCTCCAGATTGTGGGAGTAACCATAAACACAGCGTTATATAAATTTTCGTTTTTGTTTTTTCGCGTAAATCGGTAGGTTATGTCGTCGGGTGATTTAATGTGGCTTTTTATATTTGGATTTTGGTTTACAATTATTTCTTTAAGCTCACTCACAGGTGTGTCCCTGTAGATGCCTTTTAGAATTACCAAAGGCTTGAGCTTCTTGGCTATGTCAGCGTTAACAAGGCTGTCAGGATGGTTTATGGCGTTAAGGGTTTCGTCACGCTGTTCTTGATTATCAAACTCAACCCTAATTTTGTGGTTGGACACCAGCTTTACTTCAGAGGGGTTGAAGGTGTATTTTTTGAAATGAATGCTATTACGCCACGCGTTTACGGTTTCTTTAGAGGAAGAGACTTGCTGTTTAGAGCTAACTATTATGGCCGGCTTGGTAACCGGTATAGGTTGTTTCTCAGCAGATTTTGTCGATTTAACAACTTTGGCGTAGGATGGTAGTGATGATGGAATGATAGAAGGTTTGACCAGATCTTGCAGTGGCTGAGTGGTAATTTTTTGTGGTAGTACCGCTAACTTAGAGAACTCTTCCCTAATAGTATTCCTGATTAATGAAACTGTTTTATTTTCGGCTGATGAGATTGAATGACGTAATATCGTTTTTACTTGGTCGTACAATTGTTGCGTACTTCGTTTAATTTCGTCAAGAGATTTTTTGATGTTATCTTTGTTGGTGCGAGTTACACTCCTATTACCATCCAAATTTTGTAGGATCAATTTCGTGTGTTCACTAATATTTATCAAAAACACATCATTAAGCTCTGGAATAGAGTCGGATCGTGGCTTTTCAAATTCGTCTTGTGTAACGTTTGTTGGATTTTCAGGTAGAGTCAACTCTTCAATCAAATCTAGGCTAGTAAGAGCCTCCGAAGTAGTAGAAGTATTGTGTAGATTTGACATTTATAATATATGTAAATTTACTTAAGTAATAAATAACCGGGAGGGTGGGGAGTCGATTTTTGTCTAAACTAATTGTTTTTATTTACGGGCTTAATAAATAATAAAAAAAGAAATAAATAAAAAGAATCGATGTTCTTAAAAAAAATCGATATAAATAAAAATCGATAGATTCCTGCAAGCCTACTTAAGTAAGACAAACAGGGAGAGTGGGGGGGGGGCGATTTTTTCCAGTTCTATATGTTTTATAAAGCAAATAAGAGTGCAGATGGTAGTTTCTACACTAGACGGACCTAACAAAAGCGAAAAGAGCGAAATAAATGAAGATTTGAAAAATTTTAAATATTTTAGGAAATTACGATTATGGGAAAACGAATTATGTGGAAATCAATATTTTATCGGTAGAAATTAATTATAAAAATTATGGATAAATACGGGGGGCGGTTAAATACACTATTAACAAAGAAAATTTAAACGGAAAAGGCCACTTTTCGGCCGAATTATAGATGAATACGTGTTTTTATTGATGAATTCACGTAAATAAGAGACTGAAAATATGAAAATTATATATATAACGTTAGGAATTAACCAAGAAAACTATATAGGATTACGGGGGGCAGTTAGTTACACTATTTAAATAGAAAATTTAAAAGGAAAAGGCCAATTTTCAGCCGTGCTATAGATGAATACGTGTTTTTATTGATGAATTTAAGTAAGAAATAGACTGAAAATATGAAAATTAAATATATAACGTTACGAATTTACTGAGAAAACTATAAGGAAATGTGGGGAGCAATTAACTACACAATTTAAAGAAGATTTGAACGAAAAATACCAATTTTTAGAAAAGTTATTAGCGAATTTATAGTTGGTTAGGTTAGGTTAGGTTAGGTTAGGTTAGGTTTTTTTTTTTTTCTCCTTCTTCTTTTCCATGAGGAATTGCTATCGGTATACAATTCCTTATGGTTGCGAAATTTTTGTTTAAAATGATGGGTTCTATTTGCTCCACATTTTGCTTTGATTTCTGTTAATATTTACTTTTGATAACTTTCATCAATGGTTTTCATAATATATTTTAATAATGTTACCTAAAATATTTTACGATAAGAATTTGATTTATGTTTTATGCAAGACAATTGGAACATTAATTTGTTTAATACTAAACATAAATATACATATTCATACATAATTATATATAAATATTTATAATTAATAAATATTTAATATTTATAGACTACCTTAATAGAATTAGTAAAATTAAAATTACTATTTACATAGGGTATCTTATTATTATACCTTTATTCCAATTTTTCTTGAATTTACTTATGAGGCATATAATGTTCAATTATTTTAATTTACTACTGCTGTATTGTTGTTGAAGTTTTTTAGTTGACTTATTATGTAATTGACGTGAGTTTTAAAAGTTTGTATAGTAGTTTCTTTGGAAATTATTTCTGATAAATTATATGGTTCTATCTTTAACATAGTGCACGCAATTTCATGTTCCATTCTTGTTCTAAGAAATGCAGGGCAGTTTCTTATAAGATGTGTCATGGATTGTACACTAGTTTGATTAGGTTAGGTTAGGTTAGGTTAGGTTAGGTTAGGTTAGGTTAGGTTAGGTTAGGTTAGGTTAGGTTAGGTTAGTAGGTTAGGTTAGGTTAGGTTTTTTTTTTTTTTTTTTTTTTTTTTTTTTTCTTTTTTTTTTTTTTTTATAAACCTCCCTGAAACTTTGGGAGACTGTTTTTACAATTTGTCTTTTTTACCTTATTTGTTTATTTATCTTCAAAACTCATTCATACATCATATCTTATACTCTGCTCGTCAGCCATTCAGCATCCCATTTTCATCTCGCTTACATCATCTTTCAATCATGGGCTGAAGGCCATAGTGTACTTACATTCTAATTGAAACACAAAGGGGGGGCGGGGACAGTGAAGGGGGGGAACAATAAAACTTTAATTACATCATCATTAATGCTAACTTAAAACTATGTTCCTAATTACAATTAATTTATGCTAATATATTTATATATCAATATAATTACTTAGCATAACTTACACTCTATTTCTTTTATTTACAGCTATGCACAGTTTTATACAAAATTTGAGGAACAAGTCTCTATTTTTACCCAGTACAATATCCGAAAGCGTACTTACTTCCAGTTTGCAGTCCAATAAGAACTCCAGTTCCTGCCTCTCACGGTCATGGGCCGGGCAGTCCAGGAGGACGTGGAGAACAGACTCCGAACACGCAGGATCGCAGACGCACGATGGACTCTCCTTACACTTGAAACGATGCAAGTACTCGGAGAATCCACCGTGCCCCGACAATACCTGAGTGACAAATCTGTCCACCTTTATTTTACCGATGACACGGTATGCGGCTATCGCGTCCGGGAAAAAGACCCGGGTGACACCGGCTGTTTCACCAGCCCGGTATCGTTGGTTCCATTCATCAAGCGATCGCATACGAATGCTTCGCCTGATGAATGAAACCGGGCAGCTGTCATAGTCAAAGCTGCGTTTGGACTTTAGCGCAGCTTCCTTGGCCAGATGGTCGGCACGTTCATTCCCCTCTAGTCCCGCGTGGGCTTTGATCCAGAACAAATTGACAATTTTGTCCTGTATCGAAGCCCTGTGCAGGTGGCCCCGCGCCTCGACGGCCAGGGGGTGGAGGGCAACTGGATTTGTCATTGTCTGCAGTGCCGACAGAGAGTCAGAATAAATTCCGATTGATCTGGCCGAGTTATCTGCGGCCGTCCGCGCCGCCCTGCATATCGCCAGGAGTTCCGCCTGGTAGACGGTGCAAAAGGACGGCAAAGAAAGCTTGAGGGTTTTGGTTTCGGCGGCGCCCCTCCATATGGATAACGCCGCACCCACCTTGCCCTCAATCTTACTGCCGTCCGTGTAGATATTAAGTTCGTGGTCAATATTTACCGCGAGTTGTTCCTCGCCCGCCAGGCACTTGAACTCCAGGTCGATATACTGAGCGGGATGCGGAGACCGCAGAGCCGAGGACATCCGTTCCACCTCCCGATCTCCTATCGCGTCCTGGGGTATACCCCTCCTCGCACCATACAGCGCCGCGGCTTCGCGGATGCGCAGGTCAAGGGGGAGTATCCCAGCGAGCAACAGTGCTGAGTTCAGGGAGGTGGTGCGGTATGCCCTACACAGCTTCTGCGCAAAGCCCCGCTGGACCACGTTCAGCTGCTTTCGAACACCGAGCTTATCAACAGCCGGCGCCCAAACGGCAGCCGCATACAGTATCACGGGCTCAACCACCGCTCTGTAAATAGCGCGGATAACTTCGGGGTGGAGGCCCCAGCTCGCCTTCGCGGCTCTCGAAAGCTGGGCATAGAAGGCTACGGCCTTCTTACACACATTCGCGACGTGCGTGTTGAAGGTCAGGCGCTGGTCTAGGACGACTCCCAGTAACCTGAGTTCTCCGACCATGCCAATGTCGACCCCGCCCATGTGGAGGCGTGGGGTGTCATACTTCAGTTTGCGCGTGATGACCATGGCGCTGGTCTTGTGCGGCGCAAACCTCAGTTTGTTCTGGACTCCCCACTCCCTCACATGCTCGAGGGCGGCATTAGCACGGTTTTCGACCTCATGAGCCGTCTCACCTTCAAAGACCAGCACCACATCGTCAGCGAATGCCTGCACATAGTGATGTCTAGCCTCCAGCTCGCGAAGCAGTGGATCCAACAAGAGGTTCCACAAAATCGGCCCACCGATAGACCCCTGCACGCAACCCTTCTCGGTTTTCCTCACGTGCTCCTCCCCGCAGTACCGTGCGCGAACATGCCTGCCGCTCAGGTAGCTGCCCAGGAGCCTCCTGATGTTAAACGGCACTCGTTCCTCCGCCAGTCTGACTTTGATGCGTGGCCACCAAGCGTTGTCGAAGGCGCCCTCTATATCCAGTGACACAAGCGTCATCAACTTTTTGTTTTTTAAACCTAATCTTATGTGCTCAACTAGTGTATAGAGGGCGTCCTCGGTGCTCCGCTGGGGCATAAAGCCAAACTGGCGGGTGCTGAGCCTGGGCGCTATATGATATTTTAATCTGGCGACAAGCATTTTCTCCAGCACCTTCCCCAGCACCGGAAGGAGACCGATCGGCCGATACGACCGTGGTGTCGTATAAGTAATCTTCCCCGGCTTGCGGAGGAAGATTACCATGGCCTCCTTCCAGGGCTCGGGAAAATGCCGGAGTTCGAGGCACCTGTTGAAAAGAGCGAGTGAGAGTTCGGGGTCAAATTCTATGGCGTGCAAACATATATCGGCAGTAAAACCGTCCGCGCCTGGAGCCTTCTTCGGATTGAAGGACCGGCAGGCCAATTTCAACTCCAAAGGAGTGAAAGGCGGGTCCATCAATTCCGAAGAAGTTTCAGCGTCAAAGAGCTCAGCTTGTACCCTCACCCTTCGGTGCTCCTCGGAGTCATCCCCCTCGGAGTCCTCCGGGTAAAAGGTTTCGGCCATAAACCTCACCGAGCCCCTGGCGTCTAGCTCCATACTGTCTACCACCAGCGGTGGGTCTTCGTCTCTCCTGGAGGTTCTGCCGAGGACCCGATAGATACCCCCCCAAACGGATTCCCCGTCTTGGCGTTCGCAGAAGGAGACCCAGCTGCGCGTCTGCGCTTGCCTTACCTCGGTCTCGTAACGCTCCTTCGCCTCGAGGTACTCCCCAACTACCTTCCGACGCCTAACCGGCGCTGCACACCGAATCCTGCATCTCTTGGTGGCCACCTCACGCTTTAGCGCTGCCAACCCCTCGTTCCACCATGGCATATTCAACACATCCTTGCGCTTTATTGGCGGAATAGACGAGGCACATGCTTCGGCTATTAATGTGTTGTATTTTGTGATTGTGTTATCTAATTGTGAACCGTGTGTTAAATTTTTAATATAATCTAATGTAAAGTTTTCTCTATTGATAATTTGACCCAGTTTCTCACGAAACTTGGCCCAATTTGCGTGTTTGGTGTAATATATTCTTGTGGTGTGTTTGATGAAATTCTTGTTGATGTGCCTTGTCGTTAATGTGTAGGATATGCCATTGTGGTCCGAGCTGGTCAGGTCCTCGCGCACGCGCCAGTCGTCCACCAAGCTATACAGGTCCGGCGATACGGCAGTAATATCAACATAACTGCTGTACCTTACGCCGCCCCGAATAGTGTCAAATGTAGGGGTTTCCCCTCGGTTCAGGATGCAGAGCCCGAGGTCCTCCAGTGAGCCGTGCAGTTCCTCGCCGCGGCGATCTGTCACGGGACTCCCCCACCAGACGCTCTTGGCATTGGAGTCGCCCCCAATTATAACACTCCGGGCTCCTGTCTCGCGCTGCACCCGGCGCAGGTGTGCCAGGTACGAGTCCATCGGCAGGTCGGGCTCAAAGTAAAATGAAACCAGGATGGTCTCCCAGTTGCAGACTCGGATCCCCACCACTGCGATGTTGGTCGTGGTGAGTTTCGGGTACTGTGTTATGTGAAGGTCCGCGTCAAAAACTATGATCGCGGCCTTTACAGTCCCACTTCCATGGTCCGCACACTGGAAGACTCTGATCCCATTTTGACTCTTCACACGCCCTGTTCCGCCGACGTATGGCTCCTGCACCAGAGCAAACCGCGCACGCTGGTTAGAGGCTTCGATCAGCAGCTCAGAGTGTGCCAACTTACTGCGCTGGAGGTTCGTCTGGAGGACTTTGAGAACCACTGCGTTCGCCGGCACGCCCTTAGCAATACGCTACGGATTGCCGGGCGAGGTCATCCCACCTCTTCCTGACGGGACAGTTGTCGCTAAATGCGTTATGTTCAACATTTTCAAACTTCGCGCGACAACAGTTCCGGCAGGAAGGTGGGGACCCCGCCAGCCAATCCGCGCATTTAGTGCGCAAGTGCGGCCCGCCACAGTGGCTACAGAGGTCTGCTGGGTCTTTACAGTACTTCCGCCCGTGGCCATAGCCGAGGCATCGCGTGCATTGGACCAGTGGCGACTGGTCCTCCGCTCGCACCCTCTGGAGGTCGATGTGTACCGAGCCCACGCCGGTTATCCTCGCCCAGAGGGTGGGCGACGCACTCAGGACCACGTTGGCCACGTGCGGGTTCCTAGCCCTTCTGCGATACCTTACCTCAAGTCGGTCATCCCCAGGGCCGAGGCCGTCAAAGAGGTCCCGATTCTGGTTCCTTAGGGCCTTTAAAATGTCACCATCGGTGTTGATTGTTAGGACACCTCTAAGGATCAGAAGCGGGTCTCTATTTTTGACGTCCTCGACGTTGAGGCCCGACCCTTCCTTCGCCAATCTCTCCTTGGCCTTTCTCCGGTCCTCGGCAGTGCTAAAGCCCATGACGATCTTGCGGTCTTTGGCCTTCCGGACCCGGTCTACCTTAACCCATCCCTCCTTCGCGTTTAGGGTTTTCCTCACCTTTCCAAGGACCTCCTCTCCTGTGTCCTCTTCGTCCGTGGAGGTGACAACCATTGAGTGGAGAGCCGCGGGTCTCGCTGGCTGCTGCGGCCTCACAGCAGCCACGCAGGCGTAACTACGCTGTTGGTCCTCGGCCGACCTGCTGCACCTAGTGAGCTGCTCCTGGAGAGCCTTCATCCGCTCATTACTCTCCAGGAGAAGCCGAGAGTGCTCGTCGAGTTTGGTGCTCAGTCCGGAGTCCGAGGGCACCGTAAATGTGGTGTCGGCGTCCTTAGTCGTCGACACCCCCTTCACGGAGCCCCCGGCACCCTTACGAGCCCTCTCGGCTTTCAGGTCGGCTTCGGACTCAATAATCAGTTTCTTAAGCTCGTCCAGGGACCCCAGGATGGTCTCTTTGATATCCCTCCTGAGGTTCCTGGACGAGTCCACTGCCTGTTTCGCCTTTAAATAATGGTGCTTGGCCCGCTGCAATCTGGTCTGCACGGCGGTCGCCACTGGTGTGTGAACCAGCACTTCAACCCCCCCTTCGGACTCTCAACCCGCTTTGGGGTCGGCGTCTTTTCCTTAGAGGTGGAGGGGGCGCCCGGTCCAGCCGTATAAGCCGACTCGGGAACCCCCCCCACCCCTTTTGGACTCTCTACCCGCTTAGGGGTTAACGTCTTGTGCTTAGAGGTGGAGGGAGCGCCCGGTTCAGCCGTACAAGCCGACCCGGGAACCGCCCCCTCCCACCTCTCCATACTCTGTCTTGGCAGCTTTTTCACGATCTTGGGGGGAGTTGAAGGTGGGTTCGCTTTTTCCGGCCGCTTGACCGGTGTCCGGAGTCCCAAAACCATTTTTCAGGGAGGTCGCGTCAACAATTAATAAAATAGATAAAATTAAATAAAATGTCGAAATAATAGTCAAAATTTATAATAAAATGTCAATAATAAAATTACCGCAATAGCGGGTTATATAGGGTAAAAATAAAGAGTGTTCTGTCAAAAATCAAGTTCCGTAGAATTCTACGGCCCTTACTCAACTTAAAACTACTTAAAAACTATCTAAAATGTCTTCCGCCGCGACTCTACGGTGGAACTCTACAGTGACTCTAGATAGAGTCGCCTAGTTAACACCAATCGATAGCGCTTTCCATGGGAAAGTCAACGGAAAAAACCGCGTCTCTCTACGACCAGCGGTTTCCGAGATATCACGCCTTAAAGATTTCCAAGATGGCGACCGGTTATCTGGTTTCAGTCTAGACCGAAATTCAAAAAATTATATCTCGAGAACCGCTGATCGCAGAAACGCGAGCGACGGCTTCCCGTAACGGGCGTTTTGCCCTCTATTTGAAACCTGCCAAATTTTTGGCAATCTGGAGGTCGACTCTATCCAGAGCCACAAACTATCACAAATCGTAGAGCTCACCACAACTAAGCGTGTACAAGAAACCGCGTCTTTCTAAGACGTCTAGATCAAAAGTTATACAAGTTTTTATCAAATCAAAATGGCCGCCAATATGGCTGCCAATTTTAAGGATTTCTACTAAATCCGTTCCTGTTTGTCGTATCCTATCGAGCTTGGGCTCGTTTGATTCGTCTTTTGATCTAGAATCTTAATCTACTATTATCTACATAAAATATTTCAACCCCGATTTTTGGGGTGCAAAAAACATATAAATTTACAAAAGAATTGGCAAAAACTCGAAAATTTTAAATAAAATTTATTCTAAAAAGCTAAGATTATACTTATACACTACTTAGTCTAATTTTTACAATAGGTTGCGAAGTGATCAAATTGTTATTTACACCCCCACGTGTCAACCCTTAAACTTTAAAAAATCGTAACTCCAAAAGTATTCAGCCGAAAATTATGAAATTTATAAAATTGGTAGAGCTTAATGAGCCCTACAAATTAAATAAAAAATATGGGGGTGTCGTCGATCTTTATTTCGAGATAAAAAATTTTTTTTTTTTCCCCTTCCGTCGTCAGACGCACTTTGAGGTGGACGTGCTACATGTTGGTCGAGTGCCGCTCCGCCCGATTTTGTGTTTTAAAAATCGAAAAAAGTGGTTTTTTGTGCTCCGATTTTTACAATTTATGCACCAAAAGTTAGGGGGAATAGTTTCCCCAGTTAGTGACAGTTTCTGTTTTTTGCGCCGAGCGCGTTAAGTGTGAAGAAAAACAGTGCAAAGTGCAAATTTTAATTTTTAAAAACTTTGAGCGTGAACGCTGCCTAAACGCGATCTGTGACCCCTGGATATTTTTATATCTGCAGACGGGGCTCGCTGAGCTCTTTCTTTTGACACCTAGGCCGGATTTTTCCGGTGGAAACTCACGGTTAGGTTAGGTTAGGTTAGGTTAGGTTAGGTTAGGTTAGGTTAGGTTAGGTTAGGTTAGGTTAGGTTAGGTTAGGTTAGGTTAGGTTAGGTTAGGTTAGGTTAGGTTAGGTTAGGTTAGGTTAGGTTAGGTTAGGTAAGGTTAGGTTAGGTTAGGTTAGGTTAGGTTAGGTTAGGTTAGGTTTTTTTTTTTTTTTTTTTTTTTTTTTTTTTTTTTTTTTTTTTTAAATATCCTCCGACATGTTGATCGGACACCTTATGTAGCTGATTGCTTTTTTTATATATTTATGTTTATTTTAATTTTTCATTATTTTTATATAGCTTTTTTTCTTTCTCTTCTTTTGTTTTTTTTCTTTTTTTTCTGTGTTCTATGAACTACGTTTTTTGTTTTTTCAATATCAGGTGCTTTTCGGTACTTTGATTTTTTGTTTAAGTATATTTTTGTTGTTACTTTTCCTTTTTTTATCGATTACAAATGTGGTTAATTCTTATTTTATTAATTCTTTTTTTTTTTTTTTTACTATTCTACACTATTTCTAACTAAATTCTCTTGTTTTTTTTTTTCTTATTATGTTGCATACTTATTTTATATAATATTAGGACATATGTACTCATATGTCTAATTATATAGTTTTCTTACTCTCTTGTTTTTTTTTTTTTTGTCCTTTTTAACCAAGGTTTTTTTTTTATTGTACTTTTTGTTTGATGTATCTTATTCTATATTCTAAATTAATTTTATCTTGTTCTTGTTTAGGTACTTTTATTAGTTTTTATGATTTTATTTGCTACGGTTATACAATATTTTGTGAAAATGTTTCTGCCGCGTTTGTCTTCCATTATGTTATGTATATTTTCTTTTGTCAATTTTAATCCTATCTGCAGTTCCACGTCTGCTCTATTTTTGCAAAATTGAGGGCAGTCTATAATTATGTGCAGAGAAGATTGGGGTTGGTTGTTATCACACGTACAGTCTGGTCTAGATTTTATTTTAAAACGGAACAAATAATCTGCAAAGCCTCCATGACCGGTGAAAACTTGTACTAATATTGGCGTTAAATTAATTTGTTTTAGGATGCGATATGCTGCTTCTACGTCTGGAAAAAATACTTTTGTAATTTCGGCTTTTTCTTCTGTTAAATATCTCTTATGCCATTCCTTAATTGTTTTATGTCTAATTTGGTTCTTTATGAACGAAATCGGACATTTTGCGTAATTTAATTTTGTTTTTAATTTTAAAGCTGCTTCCTTTGCGAGTTCATCTGCGCGTTCATTTCCGGGAATACCTACATGTGCTTTAACCCAATACAGCCCTATCCTCCTGTTTTGACTTCTTAATTTAGCGATATCTCGCCTAATTTCGAAAGCCAACGGTTGATATGCTGATTGATTTTTGACAAGTTCCAGTGCAGATCTTGAATCACTGTATATGTAAGTACTTTGGTAATTCTTTGCTTTTTGAATAGCTTGATGCATTGCGTACAGTTCAGCCTGAAAGACAGTGCAGAATGAATCTAATTTGAATTTTTTATTATCTATTTCTTGTTTATTTCTCCAAATAGAGATTGCAGCTCCAACCTTGCCCTCAATTTTACTTCCATCGGTGAATATTTGTATGCTGTTTGTATGTGGTTCCTCTAATTTTTCTGATGTTGTATTCTCTATTATTTCAAAGTCAATTTCTTCTTCGCAGGCTGGATGCATCATTTCTAAAAAACTTACTTTTCCTTCGATCTCTCTGTCTTTAAGTAGGTTAGCATCTGGTTTACCGCGTTTTGCTTCATACAAATATGCAGCTTCGCGTAACCTTAAATCTAAAGGTAGTAGTCCTGAGAGTATCAATGCTGCGTTTAGTGAGACCGTGCGATATGATTTACAAATTTTTTGTGCAAATCCCCTCTGCACTGCGTTTAGCTGGTTTTTGATTGCTATTTTGTGGGCAGCTGGTGCCCAAACGCTTGCGGCATACATTATAACTGGTTCAATAACTGATACGTAAATCGTTCTGATCACCTCGGGTTTAAGCCCCCATGAAATTTTTGCTGCACGAGCCAGTAATTTATAAATATTTATGGATTTTTGACAAATATAGGAAACATGACTATTAAATTTCAATTTTTTATCGATGATTAGTCCTAATATTTTTATCTCATCTACTAGTTTTATTTCTTTACCTCCCATGAACAATTGCGGGGTTTCATACTTCAATTTATTTGTTACTATCATACCATAAGTTTTTTGTGGGGCAAATTTTAATTTATTTTTTGATCCCCATTCATATATATGTGAAAGAGTTTCATCTACATTTATTTTAATATCGCTTGTCACGTGACCTGAGAAGATCAGAACGATATCGTCGGCGAAGGCTTGGCAATACACTCCACGCTCTTCTAGTTCATTTAGCAACGGATCCAATAGCAAATTCCAAAATATGGGACCACCATCGAGCCTTGAATGCACCCTTTTGTATTATTTTTTGTAAATTCTTCGTTCGCATATCTAACTGTAACTTTCCTATCTGTAAAATAACTATTTACTAATCTACGTAGATTCACAGGACACTTTATCTCCATCAGTCTATTTTTAATAACAGGCCACCACGCGCTGTCGAAGGCCCCCTCTATGTCTAAGGATATTACAATACTTATTTCCTTATTTCTCAGATTGTTCTTGATGTGTAATATCAAGTCATAGAGGGAGTCCTCCGTACAGCGCTGTGGGACGAACCCATACTGACGGGGATTTAATTTTGGCAAAATGTAATATTTTAGTCTTCTCACCATCATCTTTTCTAGGATCTTACCCATGACAGAGAGGAGCCCTATCGGCCTATATGATTTCGCGAGAGAGTAATCAGTTTTTCCCGGTTTTCTAAGTGCTAACACAGTAGCTTCCTTCCATGGATCCGGAAAGTATGATAATTCTAAGCACTTGTTCAACAAGGCTAAGAATATCTGCTTATCAACGTTTATCGCCGCGGCACAGATGTCCGCTGTGAGGCCATCTGAACCTGGCGCCTTCCTTGGATGGAAGCTGCTGGTAGCAAATTGTAATTCGGTTGCTGTAAATGGAACATCCCAAATATCATCTGTAGTTTGAGTGCACATTCTGTTAGCTTTCATTCGTGTATGATATTGTTCTGGTATTTCGTTTTCCAAATTGTCATCGAGGAAAAATGTCTCCGCCATATGTTTCACTGATTCCTCTGCATCCAACGATTTACCTTCCCTAATTAACAGTATGTCCTCGTGTCTTTTTGATGTTTTCCTGATTACTCTATAGATCCCGTCCCATAGACTTTCCCTATCCTGCTTACCGCAAAACTTTTTCCAACTGTTGATTTGTGCTTGTGCTACTTCTTCTTCATATTTATTTTTTACCTCCAAATATTGTTCTACTACGTAGCGCCGACGGCGAGAGGCAGCATACGATATTCTTCTTTTCTTCACTGTCATTTCTTTTTTTAACTTATTAAGCTCTTCTGTCCACCACGGTATAGTAATTTTATTTCTAGTTTTAATTTTTGGGATATTCGAATCACTTGCTTCCTTAACACATTCTATATATGTATTAATTGTAGTTTTTAGTTTTTCCTTTGATTTTAGTTCTGTTATCTCTTCTTCACTAATATTTTTCATTTTAAGTGTTTCACATAGTTTATTTTTAAAATCTGTCCATTTCGCCCTTTTAGTATTATATATTCTAGTACTTTTAAAATTATTATTTTCCGTAGGTTTTAACAATGCTAGTTTAAATGTTATACAGTTGTGGTCAGAACTTATAATAGCTTTATTTACTCTCCAATCCTTCACTTTACTTAATAAATTTTCGCTACTGATTGTTACGTCTACTATACTCTGATAGATATTCCCACCCCTAATAGTATCAAATGTGGGTTCATTTCCTTCATTTAATATGTGCATACCTGTATCCTCTATCATTCCTGCCAATTCCTCTCCCCTATGATCTTCCCTAGCACTTCCCCACCACGTACTCCATGCATTGAAATCACCTCCTATTAGTACGTATTTTGTTTTTAGTTTTTCAATGATAGTTTTCAGTTGTGCGAGATAGGGTTCGATAGGTAAACTGTCCTCAAAATAGACCGATATGACTCCTAATTCCCACTTATTCGTTTTTAATTGAGCCACTGCTATATTCTCCGTTACGAGTGTTGGATCCTCTATGACATTAATATTTTGATCAAAAACTATTACTGCTGCCTTTACAGGTTTAGTTCTGTTTCTTGTACACTGAATTACTTTTGTCCCTTTTTCTTTTTTAAGTTCCCCTAATGCTCCAATATATGGTTCCTGTACCAAAGCGATATTAATTTTTCTTTGTTCTGCTTCTATCATTAACTCTTTAGTTGCTAATTTCTTCCTCTGGAGATTTGCTTGTATAATACGGTAGTCCTGTGGATTTCTTAATGATTCTTCATCACTGGTGGTCCCATAATTCGTTGTATCGATTTCAGCAATACGCTACACTCGATCTCGCGATCGCGTCCCATTTCCTTCGGATAGGGCAACTGTCGTCAAATGCATTGTGGTCTGCCCTTTCGCTTTTTGCGTGCAAGCAATTGCGACATGTCGGTGGTTCTTTTACTGCCCATAATGGACAGTCGTCCTTAACATGGGGTCCGGCACAATGGCTGCATAAATCCTGTGTCTCTTTACAGAATTTCTTTCCGTGACCGTACCCCAGACACCGCGTACACTGTACCAACGGTGATTGGTCTCTTACTATTACACGTTGCAAGTCAATGTGGACTTTTTCCACTGTTGTCAGTCTCTGCCACACTTTTGGGGATACTTGAATTACAACATGATTAATATGCGGATTCCTAGCTTTTTTCCGATATTTAATTGCTGCTCTGTATTGATCATCTGGTATATCGGATAGGAGTTGCTTATTCTGGTTTTTCAGAGCTGCTAGAATATCTTCGTCTTTATTTAAAGATAGAACATCTCTCATAATTATCAGAGGGTCTTTATTCTCGACTTCTTGTACTAGCAATTTTGAGGATGCTCTTTTGATTCTTTCCGCAATTTTTTGAACTTCGTCATGTGTCTGGCATCCCACTATTACCTTTTGATCCCTGGCCTTCCGTAGTTTATCCACTCTCAACCCAGTGATTTTAGCGTCAATTGCTGTTCTAATTTTATTTATTATATCTCCGCTAGTGTCTTGTTCTTCTTCAGACGATACCAGAACTGAGTGCATTGGAGCCATCATTTTACTGTTTATTTTGGCCTTAGGTCGACCAGCTATGCTGGCATATGTGGGTTCATTTGTTTCGCTTATAACCAAAGACTCTCGAAGTCCACCCATTTGGTCTTTTAGGGATGATAATTCTTCTTTTATTTCCATCAGTTCCCTTCTGGTATCCTCCGATTTGCCCATAAAAGTATGTTTATCCAATAAGGTGTCATTGCCCATCGTGTGCTTCAATGAGTCCGTTAGGGTTCTCATATCACTCACTGTTTCGGTGAGAGCAGACTGAATATCTCTTATACTACCCTGATCCATTAGTGCTCTAAGGCTCTCTACATACTGTTTTTCTTGCCTAAGTAGATCGTCTTTAAGTTGTATACGAGCTTTCTCCAATTGTAGGAGTAGAGTCTGCCTTTCTTCGTTTAACTGTAATACGATTCCAAAGAGTTCAGAAAGGTTATTTACCACCGTCTCTTTTATGGAAGTCTTTAAGTTTCCAGACTGCTCTAGCTGCAACTTAGCGTCCTGATATAATCTATTGGCCTTAGACATCGCTGTTACAGCTATTTCTAGTACATCGGATTTCCGAGTGTGTATTTCTTTTGGTTTCTCTTTGGTTGCAATATTCTGTAAAGTGGGACGTTTCCGCTGCTCTTCGGACCTATTTACGTTACCTGGCACTGAACTCATTTTAATTTTTTGTAAATAAGAGACTTTTGTAAATTTATATATATGAATCTACCTTAGTAATGAAAACAGGGTGGGTGGGAGGCCGAAATTTTGCTAATTTCTACGTTTATTGTTGCAGATTTTGGCTGATACGGCGGTTGTGGAGTAAGGTGGACCTGATAGGAGCAAAAACGGAAGAGATTTGTAAAATTTTAATATAGACGAAAAATTTTGATATATTACGTTTCTCAAAAACAATAATTTTTAATTTAAATTAGAAATATCGCCCGAAATGGCTTGAAAACACAGTAAACTAATAAGACTAAACTAATTAAATATTTCAAGGCAGCCAGGGAATTTTTACAATGTTTTTATGCAAAGTTATGAGGTGAGGTTAGGTTAGGTTAGGTTAGGTTAGGTTAGGTTAGGTTAGGTTAGGTTAGGTTAGGTTAGGTTAGGTTAGGTTAGGTTAGGTTAGGTTAGGTTAGGTTAGGTTAGGTTAGGTTAGGTTAGGTTAGGTTAGGTTAGGTTAGGTTAGGTTAGGTTAGGTTAGGTTAGGTTAGGTTAGGTTAGGTTAGGTTAAGGTTAGGTTAGGTTAGGTTAGGTTAGGTTAGGTTTTTTTTTTTTTTTTTCTTGTAATAAGTTTACTCTACAGACTCGAAGTCCGTACCTTTTTTTTGCTTTACTTTAATTTATTAACTTTTAAAATACTGTTATAAATGTACTCCTTACACTACTTACATTTCTTAAATATTTAAGCCTAAGCGGTGAGTTCACATATATATGTTTATATATTTTTTTTTTTTTTTATTTTTTTTTTATTTCTATTGTCTTACATTCTTAAGATCTACAAACTGATATGCTTACATGCGACATGCACTTACACGCTATATTTTTTTTTTTTACACTTTTTTGTATGTATTATTATTATTATTTTTTTTTTTTTTTTTTTTTATTTATGTCTATTGTCTTACATTCTTAAGATCTACAAACTGATATGATTACATGCGACATGCACTTACACGCAATATTTTTGAATTTTTTTTTTTTTTTTTTTTTTTTTGTTAATTAAACATAATAATTGTCGACCCACTTTGTGTTTTTATATATATTTTTTTCCTCTTTTTTTTTTTTTTTTTTTTTTTTTTTTTTTTTTTTCCTCATGTAGTTATCAACACAATCTACATACTTAATGTATATGGCCTTACATGCTATGTTAATTTATTATATTACCAGATTTTCCTTTTTTTTTTTTCCCTTTTCCTTGTACTTAATGTCGTGGAGAGTGCTCCATCTTTAACTGTTTGTGATATCTGTTGACAGGGCTTCCACAATAGCTTCGTCTCTGTTTCTAATTGCCATTTTCAGATTATATTCTTTGATTCTTTTCGTTGTCGCAGCCATTGCGCTCTCAATCAGCCTCCCAGTTGCATCGTCGCAAACGTCCGTGTAATAAACACAGCTTTCTGTGTGCCTGGACACTGCCACTACTGCGTGTTGGACGCTGTCATAAATTTTGAGCTTCTCTGTTGTTGTCCTCATTATGACCACTCTCCCGTATGTGAGACCTTGGGCCTCATGTACGGTTAAAATTCGCGACCCAGGACCCGAACCATATCCCTGGCTGGTAAGGGACTCCTTTTCTGCTTGCGTAAATGCAAGATATAAGGTGTCGGGCAGGGTACCTGGTATGACGACTCCCGTGTACCTCTTCCTTTCTAGTGAGTGCACCTGAGATCTGGATGAGTAAATGCCACTGTAGATTTCATTCAGGGCATATGCCACATCCATCGGATTCCGGTGCGTACACAGGAGTTCTTGGCTGATAGTGGTCACGAGGCTTGGACGAGTATATTGCATCGCAAAGAGGTTTTCCCTGTCGATATAAGGGAGTTGATTGATGTCACCAATAAGCAGTATTTTTTCCGCTCCACTTAGTCGCATTGCCATTACTATGGCCCCGAAATGGTTCATGAGAGCTTCGTCGACTAAAAGTCGAGTACATCTTCCCTTTTGCCTCCTCATACCATTTACTAAAACTGAGGCCATAGTGCGCACTTTTGTTTTTGCGTCAGTGGCTATGCGGTTGGCTAACTTTTCTCTAAGATCTTTAGCTGCTTCTGTTGTTGTTGTGACAATCAAATCATCCTCCGCATCGAATTGGTTTATAACCCAAGTTGTTTTGCCACATCCCGGAACTCCATTGACCCAATTTATCGTCGGCACCGTCCAGTTTTCCCAAGAATCTCCCAATGCACAGGCTCCCGAGATAGTTTCCGCCATTTTTAGGATCCTGTCCTCTAGCATCACCCTGGTACAACGGGCGGTGACCACAATAGGGTCGTTGGGTGGGGTTTTGAATACTAATCTTCCCTGTCGTTCTGTCTCCTCCTCATCCAAGGCAACGAAGCCCGCTGACCCGCTATAAGCCGCCATGTGATGACCCATTTTACCTCTTATGACAGTAGATGTTTTGTTGTCATAAATTGCGGCCTCTGCTTCCTCGAGCTGCACCCCAAGGAACTCATGACTACCGAGGTGGAAACTTTGTAAGATATTCTTGCAAGTAGTTTGGTTCACCTCAAGAGTTGCTTTTATGAGGGCCTTAAACTCTAAGAAAGCGTTGATTATGTGGTCTTTAGGCTCGACCGCTGGTAGAAGTCTTGGAGGGCTGACACGTCCCGAACAGGGTCTAGTGTGGGTGGGTTTGGATTTCTTGAGTACTCTTGGAGGCTCTCTTATTAGGTTATCGGCTTGTCTTAACTTGCTCAACTTTCGCATTGCTCTTCCTGGAATGCTCTGGGCCGCTGCACTGATGGTTTTAATTAGTGCACTTACCCCGCTTTGTGACTCAGAACTTTTGCTAAGTTTTTCCCTGGCTGCGGCCTTTTCTTTGGCCGTTTTCAGTTGCAGGCGTTCTGAGCCACTAAGTGTCTCTGGATTTGCTACAAGATGTTGGGTTGCCTTTGTTGAGTCGTGATGTTTGAGGAAGCTCAGGTTTTCGCCCCTATCCTCATACACGACTATTTCATGTTTGTTTGAGGCTTTTATACAACCAAAGTGGTCCATGACTTCACCTTTCTCATATAGGACCACCATGGCATCCACACTTATGATGCGGGGTATGACAGATGTCTCTTCCTCACCGAGTCTCGTTAGCAGTGAGCATGCCTGGGCGAATGGGGTTTTTTCTTCGCTCCATGTGAACAGCAAGATCGTTTTGTTTTTCGATCTTACTATTCGACATCGTTGCTTTGCAACCTCTATTTCAACTAGCGCCTCATATGTTTTGCGCTTCATGCTCGTTTTGAGAGTACTGCCGTTTAGTAAGCTTGCGAGACCGGGAGATATTTTGACATAGTTTCGGCCAGTTGTTAAGCAAAAACTTAAGCCGAAACGCTCTGTGTTGTTATCCATGAAGAGAGCTACTCCTCGAATTCTCAGGCCTGGGTTACCTCTTTCAGCGCATGCAAGTAGCTGATGGTCTGCTTTATTGGCTGGGATGCTCTTCTCCTTTACGGAGACCTCTGCGAATTCCGCAACAGTTTGCTGCTCCCTGGGGAATGGATAGTTCATGGCGTTACGCTTTGCAGCAGCGCGAAAGATGGACTCCACGAATGCCAGAAATTTGGGCCTTTTTTCTTCGTCTTCGATGATTTTGTGTAGGTCAGACTTGTCAAGATTGGTGTTTATGCAAAACTCGAGATCCAGACGTGCCGCCTGATAGCGGGGACACTCCAGAATCACATGCCACACTGACTCACTGACATTGGGATCGCACTCGCACCCTGGTGTATCCTTAAGCTTAAAGCGGTGCAAGTACTCCGCAATTCCACCATGTCCTGTTAACACTTGTACCTGTGTGGGTGTCAACTTCGTCTTTCTCACTATCCGGTATGCTATTGCAACATCCGGTAGGAATATTTTGGTGACTTGCCCAGTGGTCGAGGTCTCGTATCTGTCCTGCCAGATTCGAACGGTTTCCTCTCTGATTTTCTTTTTAACGTAGGACATGGGGATTTTGTCGTAGTCTGGAGTGGCTGTCTCCCGGAGTGCCGCCGCCTTGGCAAGCTCATCAGCTCTCTCATTTCCAGACGTGCCTACATGAGCCCTCAACCAAAACAGCCGTATCACTCTTCCCTCTTTTCTCATCTTCCCTATGCTTTCTTGAATGGCCTTTGATAGGGGGTGGCTTGCTTTAGGGTTTGCTAGCAGATCGAGCGAAGATCTTGAGTCACTCATAATGTTAACAATAGGTTTAGTGCTCGATTCAGCTAGTTTGGTCGCCCTGAGCAAGGCATAGAGCTCGGATTGGAAGACTGTACAGGATGGATCCAGTCTAAAGGTGGAACTACTGATCTCCCTACCATCTTCCCACCACGTTAAAGCTGCTCCGACCCTCCCTTCTATCTTACTTCCATCGGTGTATATGTGAGGGCCGGTTAGTTGGTGGAGGTTTGTGTTTCCGATTGTTTCCAGTAGCTCATATTCCAATTTGACGAGTTTAGAGGGATGAGGTTGATCCAAGTGATTTACACGGTTTTCAAGCTCTCTTCCTGGTGGTAAATAGTCCAGTGTGCCTTGTTTCCTGGTTTGGTACAAGCTGGACGCTTCTTTTATTCTCAGGTCTAACGGAAGCAGACCCGAGATGGCAAGCGCGGAAGTGAGCGATACCGTGCGGTACGCTTTACAGATCTTCTGCGCGAAGCCCCTTTGCAACGTGTTTAGTTGGTCTTTGATCATCTGAAGTTCTGTTGCTGAGGACCACGCGCTCGAAGCGTACATCACTATAGGTTCGACTACTGCAACGTATATTGTCCTTACAATCTCACCATTGAGACCCCAGGTCACCTTGGCCGCGCATGCAAGCTGTTTGTATATGTCAGCCGCTTTTTTTGCATACGGCTGCTACATGCGGTTTAAAGGTGAGTCCACGGTCAATGATGAGACCGAGTACTTTAATTTCCTCTACGAGGTTTACTCTGCTGCCGGACATTTGCAGGTTGGGGAG